TTTTTATACAAATCTGGCATATTATGGTCTATCATGTTCATAAGCGAACAGTCAGACATATTAATTCAATATGAAATAAACTATGGTCATCACAACATCAAGGATACCTTAACACTGTTATTGCATGCTTAAAATCAGAGTTTTGATAAAGTCCTGATCTATACTCTGAATTAATTGTTTCCAGTGCATCTTTAGTGCCTGAAGTCACTTGACGAAATACGACGCTTCTTCCAAAAGCGTCCCATATAAGCTTGATAGGATTGAAGTCTCGTGAGTGTGTGTTGGCCATTCTATTTGATCAATTTGCTCTTTTTCATGAATTGAACGGAAAATTAAAATCGTTTTATTTGAGCTACATCGTTGTATTAATTTTAGACCAAAATTTTTCTTTCCATGAAATTTAACAAACATAAGGACACAAACATAAAAAACAACAGAGTTTGTCACCTATTTCGAATGTCAAGTACTACTATTCTTATTTTTTACCTCAAACAACTCATCTTATTTAGAAATGGCAAATAATGACAATTTTGCAAATAGTTTGTTAAAATACTAAAAATTAAAATAAAATAACCTAGAGTATTTAAGTAGCACGAGTATTGCAAATATAAGTTATCTTTGTTCTCTCTAAATTATTCCTTTATGAAAATTCATCACTGAACTTTTTAAATTATAAAAATATATTTCATTATTACCCAAAAAGAGTGAAACCACGGTTGACATATCATATTACACACAAACTTCGTAATAACCCAAACACTTTCAACAATCCCTTATGTTGAAGGCTGCCTTGTTGCTGCCTCTGTAAAACCTATTAATCTTCTGACACTTACCAACAAGGCTGGGAGAGCCTTATTAAATCACGAGAGGTTAGACTGAAACATAACAGTAGAGTATTTTGGTTCTACTGAAGGTCTTGAAGCTAAAGTAAGGCCTTTCGACATAGTGTTTTTAAGTGTTGAGAATTTGATAATCGATTTGGAAAATTATTTCATCTCAATTAATGAGCGATGCTTAAAAACATATTTGTTTAGTTTTTGGAGCAAAAAGTATGAAATTAAAGTTAATTACATATATATTTAAAGCGCTATAATTACAACAGTTACTGTAAAAGTATTAACTTATTTTTGTAAGACTTAAACATCAATAATGAGTTTTAAGTCTAAACGGCGTCCTAAATATATTTACAATAAATTATAATAAAAATCCGTAGAAGAATGAGCAAAATAATTATGCAAGTAAGTCAGTAAAGTAAGGTTACAATCGTGAAAATTTACACAATTTGTTGAACACTCTTACAATTTTATGTGTATTACAATCTTGACAGTTTACACAATTTGTTGAACACTCTTACAATTTTATGTGTATTACAATTTTGACAGTTTACACAATTTGTTGAACACTCTTACAATTTTATGTGTATTACAATCTTGACAGTTTACACAAATTGTTGAACACTCTTACAATTTTATGTGTGTTTTTCATTTAACTGTTTTTAAACATACCAATTTCGAGAAAATCAGATTACCTTTATGAGTTATTTGTATACTTTTCTTTTATTACAGAGTACACAAAAGCATTTTCTCAGGAGTAAAATATAATAAAGCTTCTCATAAATATAGTGATTTAATGAAATATCTTTCAAAATATATTTCAGCTAATAATTCATTTTTATTGTGTATAAAATTTTACTTTTATTACTGGGTTAATGTTATATCTGCAGTATAAAGCCAATAGTAATCTGTATATTGAATCAATAAAAATAACAATGCATCTAATGTCCGTTTGGTTTCTAACTAAATTGTTCTTTCTCTGTGTTTTGATTTTTTTGACTTAATATTTCTTGTTCTATGTGTTATATCTAAATTAATATTTCTTGTCCTATGTGCTATATTTAAATTAATATTTCTTGTCCTATGTGTTATATTTAAATTAATATTTCTTGTCCTATGTGTTATATTTAAATTTAGAGTAATAATATATATACAAATTCCTTATATTTTATTTTATATGTAACGTATTTGATATTTGATAGTTATAAAACATATCATTCAACTGTAATAAATTATAAATCATTTTCATAAAGTAAATTACCTAATGGCAAAATAAGCCAGCTAGTGTGTCAATTATTTACAATATGGCTGTGAAAATTCCTACTAAACTCTATACTTTCTCTTGTTCCAATATTGGAATATTTGTATACATTTTTACATTTTATGATCAAGTCACTATGTTGATTATTTATTTTTAGCATGAATAGTTCAAGTGTGTATTAATGAACAGTTGTTCCTTTTAAACATTATCTTCTTTGTGGTGATAATGGTACTTACAAAAAATTACCTCGAGTATTTTTCAGTGTTCATTGAATGAACAGTTTGGTTTATAAAGCTACCACAAGTATTATGAGGAGGAGTTGTCTCATTTTTGACTGTGGAGTGAGGTTGTTTGATTTACGTTCGTTTACACCTAAAAAAAGATCGCATTTCACACTTTGAGCCATGAATGTGTTATAAGAGTAACAATCAAATCCCACTATTCCATTAGAATGTCTCAAGGGTTGATGGTGGATGCTGTTGATTAGGTGTCTCGTCTCTAGTCTATTACTTCAAAATTAGGGACCTACCATAGTTAGCACTCGTGTAGCCCTGCTCAAGCATCATAATCAACCAAACAAATTCACTTTATGTAGTTTTTCATGCGTTTTCTTTTTTTGTTAATCCTCTTGCTAAAGCTTTGCTTCACAGAGAACACTTAATGAAAACTGCTAGTCCTGATGAATTGGAGGAAATGTTAAGAGGTTAGTTAAAGATTTCTCAAATTTCTTTTCAACTGCTGAAATAACTAGAGAAGCTCTTTAAAAAGCATGACTTGCTATTTTGCTAATAAATTTCGAACTCTTTTTTTAATTGCGCATGAGTATTAGTTTAACTTGATGACGTTAAGTGACGAATAAATAATGCTAAAAACGGTGTACTAGATAAAAAAAATGATTTAATTTTATGTATAAATATTTTCAAAGACGGAGAATGTGGTATTTTTAAAATTTTCATATTTAAAGGACTTAGTCATTAAACTTCAAAATGAATCATTAATACTTTGCTGTCTATAAACTAGACAGACAACTGAACTGGTGTGTGGAGAAAATAAGAGAAATTAATCATTCACGATATTGTAATAAACAATCAATTGACAAATGTTTTATTCAGTTTAATAAATACAGAGACTGAACATACTATTATATAGTATTTAACTCGTTGCAATAAATTTTGAAATTTCATAATTCAATATACTTGAAGGAATAATGGAAAATACTTTAAAAAGTTTAAAACACTAGGAAATTTGCAAAAAGAAAATGCTACTGTACATAATAATGCAAGCATCTTGAGCACTAAACGAATGATTATGTTTATTTACATGTAGCACATGATAAAACTGATGATCGTTTTCATTTTTACATGTAATAAATCAAAAACGTTTTTCATAAAATCCAGTTCTGAAAGAGTGAACCACTTATTAATATAATTGACATATTTTAGTGAATGTCTTTATGTTTGTAATTTACTTATTTTTCTGTTAATACTTAGCTACTTAAATACTTCTCTAATCTTTTTCCTCTGGTTTAAAATATCAGTTCTTCAGTGGTAGTCTCATTAACACATTAAAACAAGTTTCCTTTCAACATTGAATATTTGGAACAATTTATATCACAACACAAAACAACTACACAGGTAAACAGTTTAGTTCGAGAGTAAAGTGTGATGATTTAAGAGTTACATTCACAAAGAAATAGTTCACAAACGAAAGAGTATGTCATATTTAGAAATACACAAAAACTGGCAAACACCATAGACTAAGCTAGAAAGAATTACTATTTCAAAACTATATTTGAAAGAAATTACGGCTGCAATTTCATTTAGACAAGAGGGTCTAAAATTCTCATTTATCACATTCATTCTGCAGAGAAAAAAAAAATATGTTCATTATTTGCATTGCCCCCTCCCCTCAGTGGCACAGCGATATGTCTGCGGACTTACAGAGCTAGAAACCGGGTTTCGATACCCGTAATGGAAAGAGCACAAATAGCCCATTGTGTAGCTTTGTGCTTAATTACAAACAAACAAATATTTGCATTTATAGAGCTATGATCACGGACAATAAGAGGATTAAGTGTTAACTATCGGTTGAATGAATATCTACATATCCCGAGTGCAAGTATTCAGATTTAGTTTCTGAAATAAAAAAAGGAGTAAAAACTATACTATCTTTGTATTAACTTATTTCCATATTATTATTATTTTGTTTTTCTTCATTTGCCAAGTAATCAGTACAAAGTATAGCTCAATAATATGCTATCTTTTGTGTGGACCTACATACAGAATACGCCAAAGCAAAGATTATAATACTACATTCAAATGAAATTATAGCTCAATTATTCGATATCTTTCGTGTGGACCTACATACAGAATATGCCAAAACAAAGCTTATGATAATACATTAAAATGAAATTTATTAATTCATATTTCTCTTTACGTCATCGGCATTCAAAGGATTTTCATTATTTTAGAGCATATATTTTTTTCTTTATTTCATACGTATGAAATTGATATGTGTTATATATGAAAGGGGTACGAGTTGTACGGTAGAACAATGCACCGTAGTGAGATTATCGTATGTAAATGATCACGTTCCAACCTAGAATACAAGTCTTCTATTAGGTGACCAGTTAAGAAGGAGTATAGAGCATAAACATTAGCTTTTACGACATTTAAACCAGGAACACGAAGGAAGTAGAGAACAGCAAGATGTATAGAAACCGTTACTTTCTTACCAGACAATATATCTTTCTGTAAGTTTATGGAATAAATATATGACAACTCTACTTATTTTTATCGAATGAATAGAAAAAGGAGGAAAACCTTGAAGTAGATCATAAACGTTCAAACAAAGAACATGCTCTTTATCATAATAATTAGATTTTTCTTAGTTTGTATAATTTTTGGAATTCTCCGATTCCGACTTTTAAATGTTTATGTAATTTGTTGTAAAACATTTCACTCACTTTTTATTAGATTAAAAGAATCTTTCACATACTTAATTACTTCATGTAAATTGTCGATCATCTAAAAGGTTAATTTCTGTTATCGGTGAAAAGGGCCATCTTCTAGCCTGATGATGTCACTGGTTATCGTCACACTTGAGTGTGTGTATTTTGGTTGATGTTATCTGCCATTCCATCGACGGTGATCAGTTGAGACGGCGCAGGCGTATAAAACTAAAAAAAAGAACAAGAATGACTGATCTTATATACATATATATATATATGTATTTTGCTAAATTAGAAAATAAAATGATAATGTGACAGAAGTAATATATCTGCTATAGCTATCGACGCATCACTCTTAAGAACCAGAAGTAATATATCTGCTATAGCTATCGACGCATCACTCTTAAGAACCAGAAGCAATATATCTGCTATAGCTATCGACGCATCACTCTTAAGAACCAGAAGCAATATATCTGCTA